CAGGTATCTTGTAGGGCTGGAGTGGAGTGCTCACGGGGTGCTACGACAGTGGGGGAGCGAGAGTCCGTGCAGGGAAGGAGGCTACAGAAGTGAGGGTGAGACTGACACCAGAAACTACTCTTACTTTTGGATTTTTATACCCCTGCTCTTTACGCATAAGGGCATCTGGACAGACAGGTGAGGAGAAAGTTAGGTAATATTTTTGTGGCTAATGGAATAAATGGGTGGAGGATGCACACCTCTGCTCTTCTGCATTGTCTATCTTTTGTTTTTACAATAAAGAAGGAAAAAAATTAGTTATTTCTAAAATAATGAATTAGAATCAGCAACAAATAAATTTATTTATTAAAAAATTATTTTTTGACTAATACTTGGATGAAAGCTTTTACCACTTGTCAATCTCAATCTAAACTATAAGAGTCTCCCAATTTAGCATGTTTCAAGGCCTTCCAATTAACGTATTTCAATACCTTACCCTTTAACAACTGTAAGAAAGAGGTTTTCCTTGCCCCATTAATCAGACAGCTAATTAGTTTTCAATGTAAGCTCATGGCTTTGGCTTTATTCAACAGGTTATAATCTATTACTGATACTAATTACTTTGATGCTCAAACTGTGTCAGATTTAGCTTGGGAAGCTCCCTCAAGTGGGCTCTTGCCCTCCTGACGTGTCCCGTTATGTTGTGAGCACTTCCTTCCAGGCATGAGATGTCCCAGGCTCATCGTGAACTCAGTCACTGATCTAGGGACTAATACATGTTTTAAATGTCTGCAATATTTTTGAGAAGCATATTTAAAACATTTAAAAAACACCTTACATTTAAAAAATACCATTTCATGATACCATTATATATTTAATGCCAATTCATTTCTAGTGCCACTTTAAATATTTACCCACAACCCAATATATACCCCAAGAGATCCTGATTTTGTGATCAAGATTATCCCAATTATACAAGTTTTTAATAACATAAACTAATAAGGTTGGCAGGGAATGAATATTTACTTTAAAAAAAAACATGGGAAAACAAAGCATACCTTGATAATTTTTGGCTTTATAAATACTTTATTCTGTTTCCAGTGAGGATACTGAAATTTATGCTATTTTTAAGATAACCAATATGGAGCCAACTGAAATAAAATATACAAGAACTTTATGATATGTAAGATACAGATGAGAAAATCCAAAATGTTTTTACCTTAATTTGCCCTATAAGGAGTATCAGGACTTGTGGAATTGATACTGGCCTTGTCTATCAGTACTTGCTGATCCTTCGAGAGGGTATATTGTGTTTTTATGTCCAAGAAGTCAGTGTTTTCCATCTTATCAAGTACAAAGCATTACTTCAGTCCTGGACATTCTGACAGAATACCTGTTTTTATAAAAGATTACTTTCATTTTACTAAGTTCTTTAATGAAATTGCATTAAGAAATTATTTTATATCAGAGAATAGACTGAGAACAAATACAAGGCATATTTATATTTCAAAGGAAATCAGTAAGGCTTAAGAAGAAAACATTTAGTACTTAAAAAAAAATCCCAAATTCTGACATTTGGAGTAATATAATCTCCATGTGATTTTTTTTTAAAAAGGATGTTTTCCAGCTTGCTTCCAGACTTCTTTCACTCCTTTAATGCTTTCTTTTTTCACACATTTCCAGTATTCTTGTATACTTAGTTGTTGTGGTACCTGTTCAAAGTAAAAATTAAGGAGTCATTCTCTTTTAAGGGTAAGCATGACTTTATGTGTACTTTGTTACTATTTCCCACACTCCTCCAAAAAATATTTGAGATGGATGATGTTGTAAAGATGACTGCAACAGAAATGTAAAATAAGGGTAACAGATAAAAAGTGACTGCAATGTAAGAATACCCTTACAGTCTCTAAGGAATGGAGGCAAACTGTTGATTTGCTTTCCTAAGTTGTAAATAAATAGTCTCGCTTTAATGAACCCATCATGTATGTTCATATGAACCCATTGTTTCCAGACTTCTTTCCATAGGGCCCTCCCAAAGAAGACAATGGAGACTTTGGGTGACCATGTTTCATATATTAGTTTTAAAGTGTAATTATTTCATAATGTTCTCCTTTTATAGTATTTTACAATGTTTCCCATTTCTGGTGAACTTTAGTTATGGGGGATAAAAAGTGTCAGTCTAAACCTTAACCTTGGCTAAATTAAGAAGAACGAATAGGTTACAATATATTAGATAAGAAGCCTTAAGAAGAAATAATGTAATTCACCTAAGTGCTTTATGAATTAAAATTTCTGTGTAGTTATTATTCCTCTTAACGGAATGAGAAAGAACGGTTAGAAAATGTTTGGGTCCTGGTGTCAGGAGCACTGTTGCTGGACACCTGCCAAATGAAAGCAAAAGTCCATTTTAGATTATATATATTGTTTTTTCTTATCATTAGTTCCCAGCTCTTTCTTTTAATGGTCTCTGAGAAGACACTTGTGGGTAAACTGTTAACAGCAAAGGTTGACTTAATTTCTGGTAATGCTATAATATTTTTTTCTTTTGGTATCATTAATATAAAATCACATGGGCAATATTGTGGTTACTAGATTACCCCCATTATCAAGTCCCCACCACATACCCCACTACAGTCACTGTCCATCAGCACAGTAAGATTCTATGGAGTCACACTGGTCTTCTCTGTGCTATGCTGCCTTCCCTGTGCCCTCCCCAACGTTATGTGTGCTAATCGTGCTGCTCCTTATTCCCCTTCTCCCTCACTCCCCACCCACCCTCCCCAGTCCCTTTCCCTCTGGTAACTCTTAGTCCCTTCTTGGGTTCTGTGATTCTGCTGCTGTTTGTTCCTTCAGTTTTTGCTTTGTTCTTAAGCTCCACATATGAGTGAAATCATTTGGTACTTGTCTTTCTCCACCTGGCTTATTTCACTGAGCATAATACCCTCTAGCTCCATCCATGTTGTTGCAAATGGTAGGATTTGTTTTCTTCTTATGGCTGAATAATATTCCATTGTGTATATGTGCCACATCTTCTTTATCCATTCATCTCCTGATGGACACTTAGGTTGCTTCTGTTTCTTGGCTATTGTAAATAGTGTTGCGATAAACACAGGGGTGCATGTATCTTTTTGAAACTGGGATCCTACATTCTAATTTATGGGTCAAATGGTAGGGAATTTTGATTATTAACTATGAGGTGCTGGATGACAACACTGCTGGTAAATGTTTGCTAATGGGAATCATATTTGTTTATTTTCCATAGCTATGTTTGTAGCAGGAAAATGAATTTGCTTCTCTAAGTTGTAAATAAATAGCTTCTTCTTAAAGGAACCCACCATATTCTGTCTCTCCTCCTCCTTTCCTTTCTCTGGCCCAGCTGTCATGTAGTCATCTCTGGACCCTTGTATTCAACCTACAGACTGCTTTCTTTCTATTTTTTTAATTTTTATTAAGATATGATTGATATACACCCTTATGAATGTTTCACATGAAAAATCAATGTGCTACTACATTTACCCATATTATCAAGTCCCCAGTCATACCCCAATGCAGTCACTGTCCATCAGTGCAGTAAGATGCCACAGATTCACTATGTGCCTTCTTTGTGCTACACTGTTCTACCCATGATCCCCCACACCATGTGTACGAAACACAATGCCCCTCAGTCCCCTTCTCCCTCCTTCCCCACCTGCCTTCCCACACCCCTCCCCTTTGGTAACCACTAGTTCCTTCTTGGAGTCTCTGACTCTGCTATTTTGTTTCTTCAGTTTTGCTTCATTGTTATATTCCACAAATGAGGGAAATCATTTGGCATTTGTCTTTCTCTGCCTGGCTTATTTCAGTGAGCATAATGTCCTCCAGCTCCATCCATGTTGTTGCAAATTGTAGGATTTGTTTCTTTCTTATGGCTGAATAGTATTCCATTTTATGTATGTACCACATCTTCTTTATCCATTCATCTACTGATGGACACTTAGGTTGCTTCCATATCTTGGCTATTGTAAAAAGTGCTGTGATAAACATAGGGGTGCATATGTCTTTTTGAATCAGAGAACTTGTATTCTTTGGGCAAATTCCAAGGAGTGGGATTCCTGGGTCAAATGGTATTTCTATTTTTAGTTTTTTTGAGGAACCTCCATATTGCTTTCCACAATGGTTGAACTAGGTTACATTCCCACCAGCAGTGTAGGAGGGTTCCCCTTTCTCCACATCCTGGCCAGCATTTGCTCTTCTTAGTCTTTTCGATGCTGGCCATCCTTACTGGTGTGAGGTGACATCTCATTGTGGTTTTACTTTGAATTTCACTGATGATTAGTGATGAGGGGCATCTTTTCGTGTGCCTGTTGGCCATCTGAATTTCTTCTTTGGAGAACCGTCTCTTCATATCCTCTGCTCATTTTTTAATCAGGTTATTTGCTTCTTGGGTGTTGAGGTGTGTAAATTTATATATTTTGGATGTTAACCACTCGTCAGATATGTCATTTACAAATATATTCTCCCATACTGTAGGATGCCTTTTTGTTCTGTTGATGGTCTTTTGCTGTACAGAAACTTTTAAGTTTAATGTAGTCCCATGAGTTCATTTTTGCTTTTGTTTCCTTGCTCAAGGAGATGTGTGCAGGAAGAACTTGTTCATGGTTATATTCAGGAGATGTTTGCCTATATTGTCTTCTAAGAGTTTTATGGTTTCATGACTTACATTCAAGTCTTTAATCAATTTTGAGTTTACTTTTGTGTATGGGGTTAAACAATAATCCAGTTTCATTCTCTTGCATGTAGGTGTTCAGTTTTGCTAACACCAGCTGTTGAAGAGGCTGTCATTTTCCCTTTGTATATTCATGGCTCCTTTATCGTATATTAATTGACCATATATGGTTGGGTTCATATCAGGGCTCTCTATCTGTTCCATTGGTCTATGGGTCTGTTCTTGTGCCAGTACCAAGTTGTCTTGATTACTGTGGCTTTGTAGTAGAGCTTGAAGTTGGGGAGCATAATGCCTCCAGCTTTATTCTTCCTTCTCAGAATTGCTTTGGCTATTCGAGGTCTTTTGTGGTTCCATATAAATTTTAGAATGATTTTCTCTACTTCATTGAAGAATGCTGTTGGTATTTTGATAGGAATTGCATTGAATCTATAGATTGCTTTAGGCAGGATGGCCATTTTGACAATATTAATTCTTCCTTTCTATGAGAATGGGATGTGTTTCCATTTATTGGTATCTTTAATTTCTCTTAAGAGTGTCTTGTAGTTTTCAGGGGTATAGCTCTTTCACTTCCTTGGGTTAGGTTTATTTCGAGGTATTTAATTCTTTTTTGATGCAATTATGAATGGAATTGTTTTCCTGATTTCTCTCTCTGCTAGTTCATTGTTAGTGTATAGGAGGGCAACAGACTTGTGTGTTTTATATCCTGCAACTTTGCTGAATTCAGATATTAGTTCTAATAGTTTTGGAGTGGATTCTTTAGTTTTTTTTTAACGTACAATATCATGTCATCTGCAAACAGTGACAGTTTAACTTCTTCCTTACCAATCTGGATGCCCTTTATTTCTTTGTGTTGTCTAATTGCTGTGGCAAAAACCTCCAGTACTATGTTGAATACAAGTGGGGAGAGAGGGCATCCTTGCCTTATTCCTGATCTTAGAGGAAAAGCTTTCAACCTCTCTTAAGTATGATGTTGGCTGTGGGTTTGTCATATATGGCCTTCATTATGTTGAGGTACTTGCCCTCCATATCCATTTTGTTGAGAGTTTTTATCATGAAGGGATGTTGAATTTCATCAAATACTCTTTTGGCATCTATGGAGATGATGTTGTTTTGTTCCTTCTTTTTGTTGATGCAGTGGATGTGTTGTGCTATCCTTGCATCCATGGAATGAATCCCTCTTGATCAAGGTGTATGATCCTCTTGATGTATTTCTGAATTCGGTTTGCTAATATTTTGTTGAGTATTTTTGCATCTATGTTCATCAGGAATATTGGTCTGTAATTTTCTTTTTTTGTGGTGTCTTTGCCTGGTTTTGGTATTAGAGTGATGCTGGCATCATAGAATGAGTTTGGAAGTATTCCCTCTTCTACTCTTTGGAAAACTTTAAGGAGGATGGGTATTAGGTCTTCACTAAATGTTTGATAAAATTTAGTGGTGAAGCCATCTGGTACAGGGGTTTTGTTCTTAGGTAGTTTTTTGATTACCAGTTCAATTTCGTTGCTGGTAATTGGTCTGTTCAGATTTTGTTTCTTCCTTGGTCAGCCTTGGAAGGTTGCATTTTTCTAGAAAGTTTTCCATTTCTTCTAGGCTATCCAGTTTGTTAGCATATCATTTTTCATAGAATTCTCTAATAGTTCTTTGTATTTCTGTGGTGTCCGTAGTGATTTTTCCTTTCTCAGTTCTGATTGTGTTTATGTGTGTAGACTCTTTTTTTCTTGATAAGTTTGGCTAGGGGTTTATCTATTTTGCTCATTTTCTTGAAGAACCAGCTCTTGCTTTCATTGATTATTTCTATTGTTTTATTCTTCTCAGTTGTATTTATTTCTGCTCTAATCTTTATTATGTCCCTCTACTGACTTAGGGCCTCATTTGTTCTTTTTCTAGTTGCATTAATTGTGAGTTTAGACTGCTTATATGGGATTGTTCTTTCTTGAGGTAGGCCTGTATTGCAATATGCTTTCCTCTTAGCATGGCCTTGGCTGCATCCCACAGATGTTGCGGTGTTGAATTATTATTATTATTATTGTCATTTGTCTCCATATATTGCTTGATCTCTGTTTTTATTTGGTCATTGATCCATTTGTTATTTAGGATGATGTTGTGAAGCCTCCATGTGTTTGTGGGTTTTTTAAATTTTCTTTGAGTAATTTATTTCTAGTTTCATACTTTTGTGGTCTGAGAAACTGGTTGGTACAATTTCGATCTTTTTGAATTTACTGAGGCTTTTTTTGTGGCCTAGTATATGATCTCTTCTTGAAAATGTTCCATGTGCACTTGAGAAGAATGTGTATCCTGCTGCTTTTGGGTATAGAGTTCTGTAGATATCTGTTAGGTTCATCTCTTCTAATGTCTTGTTCAGGGCCTCTCTACTTATCTTCTGTCTGGTGGATCTGTCCTTCAGAGTGAGTGGAGTGTTGAAGTCTCCTAGACTGAATGCATTGCATTCTATTTCCCCTTTTAATTCAGTTAGTATTTGTTTCACATATGTAGGTGCTCCTGTGTTGGGAGCACAGATATTTATAATGGTTATATCTTCTTGTTGGATTGACCCCTTTATCATTATGTAATGTCCTTCTTTGTCTCTTGTGACTTTCTTTGTTTTGAAGTCTATTTTGTCTGATATAAGTACTGCAACTCCTGTTTTCTCCCTATTAGTTGCATGAAATATCTTTTTCCATCCCTTCACTTTTAGTCTGTGTATGTCTTTGGGTTTGAGGGGAGTCTCTTGTAAGCAGCATATAGATGGGTCTTGTTTTTTTTATCCATTCAGTGACTTACGTCTTTTGATTGGTGCATTCAGTCCATTTACATTTAGGGTGATTATCAATAGGTATGTACTTATTGCCATTTCAGGCTTTGGATTCGTGGTTACCAAAGGTTCAAGATTAACTTTGTTACTTTCTAAGAGTCTAACTTAACTCACTTAGTATGCTGTTACAAACACAATCTAAAGGTTCTTTTCTTTTTTTCCTCCTTTTTCTTCCTCCTCCATTCTTTATATATTAGATATCATATTCTGTACTGTTTGTCTATCCCTTGATTGACTTTTGGGATAGTTAACTTATTTTTGCATTTGCTTAGTAATTAGCTATTCTACCTCTGGTGACAGCTATTTAACCTTAGGAACACTTCCATCTATAGCAGTTCCTCCAAAATAGACTGCAGAGATGGTTTTTGGGAGGTAAATTCTCAGCTTTTGCTCATCTGGAAATTGTTTAATCCCTCCTTCAAATTTAAATGATAATCTTGCTGGATAAAGTAATCTTGGTTCCAGGCCCTTCTGCTTCATGGCATTAAATACATCATGCCACTCCCTTCTGGCCTGTAAGGTTTCTGCTGAGAAGTCTGATATTAGACTGATCGGCTTTCCTTTGTATGTGATCTTATTTCTCTGTCTGGCTGCTTTTAATAGTTTGTCCTTACCCTTGATGTTTGCCATTTTCATTACTATGTGTCTTGGTGTTGTCTTCCTTGGGTCCCTTCTGTTGGGAGATCTGTGGATCTCCATGGCGTGAGAGACTATCTCCTTCCCCAGATTGGGGAAGTTATCAGTAATTACCTCCTCAAAGACACTTTCTATCCCTTTCTCTCCCTCTTCTTCTTCTGGTATCTATAATGCAAATTTTGTTCTGTTTGGATTGGTCACACAGTTCTCTCAATATTCTTTCATTCTTAGAGATCCGTGTTTCTCTCTGTGCCTCAGCTTCTTTGTATTCCTCTTACCTAGTTTCTATTTCATTTATAGTCTCCTCCACTGTATCCAGCCTGCTTTTAATACCCTCCATCATGCTCTTCAATGATTGGATCTCTGACCAGAATTTATTCCTGAGTTCTTGAATATCTTTCCTTACCTCCATGAGCATGTTAATGATTTTTATTTTGAACTCCCTTTCAGGAAGAGTCATGAGGTCCATGTCATTTAAATCTTTTTTGGGAGTTGTATTAATAATTTTACTCTGTACTAGGTTCCTTTGGCATTTCATATTTGTATATGGCGCCCTGTAGTGTCCAGAAGCTGTAGTCTCTGGAGCTGCTGAGCCCCTGAAGCAATGTCGGGGGTTGCAGGGGAGCGGTACTGGTGCCTGGGTTGAGGAAAGAGCTGTTTCCTGCTTCCCGGCTGCTGTGCCTGTCTCCACTGCCTGAGCCAGTGGGCCGGGCACACAGGTATAAGCTTTTGTCCCAGAGCAGCTGGATATGGATCCCTGTTTTCCACAAGCAGCTGGAATCTCAGTCTCTCCAGGAATTCTGACTGTATTAGCTTTCTAACCCCGTAATCACACCAGTATCATGAAAGCACCATGAAATGTAGGTTTGTGCTTCCAGAGCAGACTCCAGAGCTAGGTATTGACGAGTTCCAGGTCTCCCCTCCATCCCTGCTCCATTTCTCTTCCTCCTGCTGGTGAGCTTGGATGCGGGAAGGGCTTGGGTCTCGCTGGGCCACAGCTTTGGTACGTTACCCTGCTCTGTGAGGTCTGCTCTTTTCTCTAGGTGTATGTAGTCTGGCGCAGTCCTCTTTCCTGTTGCTCTATCAGGGTTAGTTGTATTAATTACATTTTTGTATTATATGTGGTTTCAGAAGGAAGCCTCTGTCTCAACTGTCACACCACCATCTTTAATCCCCTATAGACTGCTTTCATGAGACTGTTTGCAGTAGATTCTAATTTAATAAAATTTTGAGTTTGCTTTCTCTGATAGTTAAAGACCAGTAGGTGAATTTGAATGAATATTGACAATAGCTAACATTTACTTCAACTGTCTTAGCCATTCTATTAAGTATTCTACATTTAATTCTCACAATAATTCCTCTTGGTAGATTGTATTAGTTTCCTCATTTTACAGATGAGGAATCTGAGGCTCAGAAAATAATGTGGTTTTGCGAGATTTGGTAGTAAGTAATAGAGCTGGGATGTGAACCTAGGTATGTTTAACTACAGAGCCCAAAGTAAAATTCTGGGTCATGATTTCTGATGGTGGTTTCTGATTAGATTTACATTTAAAAGGAAAAGCAAAGAAAAATATTGGCTATCATTTATAGGAGATAGCTCTGGTGTAATTACAGCTTATCATCTCTTTACAAATGATGAAGTCCAGTTAGGACTATACATTTGCTCAAATTCTGTTTATTATCATTCACTTAAGTTACGTGTAAACAAGTAGTCATTTAAATACTCAAATCTGTTACCCATAAGCCTCGATGCATCCTGTTTTTTAACACCCCAAGAAACTCCTCGTGGCTCAGACACTCATCGCCATCCAAATCAAAGAGCTTGAAGACGGTGTCCAAAATATTGTTGGAGAGCTCCTGTCCTGTCGCCACTTTGACAGCTCTCTTAAACTCCGCTGAGAAAGGAAGCACAGAACAACTCATCAACTGTGTGAAAGAGTCTATGTGGAATTAATCTACATTTTTGTTATTTGAAGAGCAAGCACAAATCTAAAATATTTATAATTTGGAAAGTAAAACAAAACCAAAAATACTCATCAAGATTATATTCAAATAAATTTGGCTGAGAAATGCCATGAATACAACTGCAAGATAATAAGTAGGCTATTTTAATCTAATCAGTATTAAACCTGCATATTTAAATATTCCCTTCTCAGGGGAAAAGTAAGAAAGTAGAAGCAAATAAACTCAGTCCTTAATGTGAGTGTCGGTGTTGTAAATCTAGAACAAGCACACTGAATTAATCAGAGGGACAATGAATTGTTTTACTGATAACTGGATCCTTGACTGATACCTTCCAGTTGTAAAATAGACTGGCATTGATTATAAATGATAAAAATTAAATAATTCATGTAACTTACCTAGTCTGACAGGGCGATGAGCTAAACTAAACATTTGCATGGCAATAGCAAAGTCTTCCAAATGGGTCGTAAAATGACAGAATGACTTGAATTCATCCAAACTAATGTTCTAATAAAATAAAAAAATAAGTTTTTGTTATGACTTTCTAAATACATTAAATGACATTATGACCATAAGTGAGTCCTTTTTTCTGTCATAAAGCATATAAACAATCTTCCTAAGTAAGTCTATTAAAAAGCTTAATATACAGAATAACAATTATAGATTTTTGAAATTAGGAGGAACCCCAAGAGACAAAGGGCAGGGCCACTGTGTGTGGCCGTGCATTCTGCAGGCTATGCCAACAGGGGGCCTCCTGGAGTTGTGCAGTGCAAGACTTGGGGTGGCCCTGTGATACAGACCGAATTGTATCCCCTCAAATTTCATATGCTGAAGCCTCAATTCCCGAGTGACTGTGTTTGGAGATAGGCCTTTAGGGAGGAAGCTGAGGCCAAGTAAGGCTAAAGGCTAAATGCGGTCACAGCTAATCCACTAGGACTGGGGTCCTGACGAGGGGAGGAGACACCAGAGCTCCTTCTCCTCCTTCACGTAAGCACAGAGGAAAGCAAGAAGGCAGTGGTGTGCAGGCTGGGAGGAGACCTCACCACGCACCAGCCTCCTGGGGCCTTGGTCGCGGACTTCCAGGCTTCTGGATGGGAGAACATTTCTCGTTTAAGCCACTGAGTCTGTGGTGTTTTGTTAGGACAGCCTGAGGAGACTCACACTTCCTGTTCAGGGGTCCGCCTCCTCGCTGTTCTGCTTTGCTTTACCAGAGAACACAGCACTGGGTTTTAGAGTTCGATGGACCTGTATTGAACTTCCGTCCTGCCATTTACTGTGTATGGTTTTGGCCTCTCTAAGCCTTAGGCAATAACCCTTCAGGGACTAAGTAATTACCCAAGGTCTACAAAATGGAACACACCAGGATTTGAACGTTGGTCCGTGTGACTTCAAACCTATTCACTTAAAAACAAACAAAAATAAGCTTAAAAAAAACCCCTAGGTTTTCCAATGAAAAGTAAACAAAGTGTGAAAATTCTTAATTTGAAAGTAACTTCTTCCCTCCCTGCCTGAGAAAAAAGTTTCTCTTTGTGGGGACCTTCTGGGTCATGCCCTGTGCATGTGTGTGGCTTTACTCAAGCTTCACTGCTTTCATCTTCTGATAATTTATAGTTTTAATTTAATGCACACATACACCCTTGCTTTACACTTGGGAGCATTCTCTTCACATATTCTACTTTGCTTTATTTTCTCAACAACAGATCTCATCAGCACAAGTAAGACTGGTTGTTTCTCTGTATCATGATCTGAAAGCAGGCAGTGGGTGCAACCTGCTTAATTTTTGCTTTACTGAAAGGTGAGAATTGTTATGTCATCGTTGTCTGAATCTGTGTGTCTTTAACAGTGAATGAAATTAAATGTTTTTCACTTTTATGTTTTTATTAGTTATTTTTGGATTTCTCTGGGTCCTCTGCCCAAAGTTTTAATGGGTTGTTAGGTACCTTTTGCTGGGACATAATTTTCCATGAGCCTTTCATGATTCTGCTTATCTTGAAAACAGAGGCACTGACCCCTCCCCTTTTTTGTTCCAGACCGTCTTTCCAAGGACATTTGTACGGTGAACAGCCTTGGTACAGACAGTGTCTCCCTTGGGAGAGGACAGCTTTGTGTACTGCCCATTAGAAAAGATGCAGGTTTCCTAAGGTGAGGTTCCCAGGCTGGGGTGCACATCCACTTGTGGGCGGCACCCGCAGGGGCCGTGAGGGGCTGTCCTGTCCCTGTGGGACTTGGGAGGCCAGAGAGGACCTGCACACGCTGCTGCTCTGCTGCGAATGGTGAAGGTCTTTGTCTCCGACCCAGTAGTCTGTGTCTCCTGCCAGCAGCCATGGGATGGTGCAGGCAAACTTGGAAAAAAGATGAAAATCTAAGATATTTTGAAGTCACTAACACTGATTTCTAAGAACCCACTATAGATTAAATAAATAGGGTAAAATGTCAGGTCCTTTAAAATTGCTTTTTAAAGATGCCATTAGAAATAAAAGAAATTGATCTATTACATGTGATACCAGTATTCACCCCCTTTTGTTACATCTTTCTTTTGACTTTATAGTTTTGGGGGTGATGAGGGGATGCAGCAGGATTTTAACTTTTAGAAGTAATTTTATAAAAATTTCCTCGAAAACTTCTGGGTTTTACATACAAAGATATACATACCCCCTTCTAAAATGATTGTTTCCAAGTTTTCTTCTATATTTACTTAGTTTCATTTTTCTCTTTAACATTTAATTTTTTGGACCATCTGGAACTCATTTAGAGTAAGGAGTGTGGTAGAGATTTACCTTCATTTTCTCCCTCAGACGGCTAGTAAATTATTCTAATGCCATTTATTAATTATTCTTTTACCCAACTATTCTGCGATAAGTGTTTACATATACAAAGTTTCCCTGTGTATTTGGGTCTATTTTTGGACTTTACATTCTGTTCAATTGTTGTGTGAGTGAATTTCAATTGTCAGTAACATTTTAGTTACCAATGTTTGATGATACAATTTAATATACTGGCATTCTTTTAAAAAAGTACTTCATTTTTTATGGGCAGTTTTAAGTTTACAGTAAAACTGTGGAGAAGGCACGGGGACTTTCCGTGTGCCGACCCCACCCCCCCAGCAGTCTTCATTTAAACTTTTATGGCTCATCTGGCCCCTCTTGAGAATCTGATGGCATTTGCACTGAAACCCATTGGTGATCAGCAATACCTGGTTCTCTCCCGATTCCTGTACACATGGAAGATTACACCTCACCTCCTTGCAGTTAGGGGGGTCATGTAATTAGTCTGGCCGGTAGCCAAAGGTGATGTTTCCAGGCCAAACACTTGCTGGAATGTGACTCTTTCCTTTGTTTTCCTCTACAGCCTCTGAGGATGGTGGTTCTTCAGACGTTAAAGCTCCAAGACGGCAGAGCCTTGGAGAGTCTGGGCACCTGAGCAACTGTGTGGGTGTCAGCCTGCAACGGACATGTAAGAACTGACCCGTCCTTGTGTCAGCCTCGGGGGCTGCAGGATTAATTTGCAGCAAACCCAGGTGGATCTGACCATATAACCATTACCTTTATAGACTAATTTTAGGGAAAACTGCTGTATTTATAATACTGAGACTTCCTATTCAGTAATAAGGGATGTTGTTATAGTTGGGTAAGTTTTCTTTTATATCCATCAAGACTTTAAAGTTTATTTTTTGTTATATTTATTTCTAATTGTTAAATATTTTACTGTAATTGTAAATGGGACCTTATTTTATTTTCTTTTTCCTCACTATAGAAATAGCTTTAAAAAATTATATTAAAACACATGCCCAAAATGTTTTGGAACAATAAAAGTCACTTGAAATCTCACTGCAATGTACCAACGATTATTAATAGTTTGGCAAACATCATTTCATGCACCTCATGCGCGCGCGCACACACACACACACACACACACACGCACCATTATATATCCTAAGTTGCAGAAGAGCTATTTCTAATAACTAGCATTATAACGGATACTTTCTTGAATTTTTATTGTTTCTGATGGTTTTTCAACTTGATTCTCTTGGGTTCTCTGGGCATATTTCCACACATACGCACACAAAGACAACTGTAATCTTTCAAATTTTACACTCTTTTATCTTGTTAATTTGTACTGGCTGAGACTTCCAGAATAACAGGAAGTAATAATGGTAATAGTGGACATTCTTATCTTATTCCTGACATTATTTGCATTGTAAAACTCCTGTTTGTCATACTGAGTATATCTTAGTAATTGTTCCTTCTTAAGAAAACAGTATGTGGAGAACATTTCTCAACTTGATTTTATGCTTAAATAACAGAGTAACATATTTTGGTTAATTTGGAAGTTACTTCATTTAATCATATAAATATGTCTCACAATATTTCATCTTTATCACAGGCATAATAAAAAGGCCATACCAACCTCTCCTGCTGACAACTTCTCTCTCACATTTTTCCAATAAATGTCTTTATTTTCAGTGTTAGTGAAAAAAAGTAGCCACTCTGCAAAGTCTTCTTTTCTCATAAAATTCAAACCTTTAGAGAACTGAAGGAATTCCATTTCTTGGATCTCTGTTTGTAAATTTTCCATAAATCTAATGTTAAAAACATACAAAATCGATGTAAGTAATAAGCAGCTTAATGTCATAAGTGGGATTGCGAAGCACCTTTCGTTACCTGTTGAGTGGTTCGCTTTTTGAAAAGGTGCATCAAATGAAGCACCTGTTTGTACAGAGGATTGTACAGGAGAAGGGATGCAGGGGCTGATTAGTTCCCACACTTGCTTCAGTCTGAGACTCCCTATATTCAAGTTGTTTGTGCAAATTAGAGCTGGCAACCTACATTCTGATACTTAAAAGACCTGAAAAATTATGTAAAATGTTGCTTTGATACATCCATGGCAGTTTTTTTATTATCAATAATCAGAGGAACTTAAAATTCAGCTGCCATACTCCTTTTAGAATGTTAATCATACTTAGTACTTCTAATATTTTTTTAGATACTAGAACTAATTAATGTGATCAATGGCTTTGTATCAAAAGTTTAGATTTGTCTAAAAATATCATCTTTGGGACAATAACTTATGTCTGTATGACAACATTCTTTTTTTCATAAAAACATGGTGCTTTGATCAAACTGCCATCAACAGCTTCCTGGGCAAGGTACACGTTGAAAGGATATCAGATTAAAATATAGTTTCAAAAAGAATCCAGAAATGCTGTCCTTGATTTGTTTCTAACTAAACCATTTGAGATATATTATCTCCATGAATTTTAGTATGTTGCTGATATCTTTATTCACCTTTCTACATATTAAAAGATCTGTACTATCTGTCATGGCACAATTTAAAGGACACATACATGGGATGGAAAAGAGTTATGTTCTAGTTCAGTGGAAGAAAAACTGTCACTGTTAGAAAACTACCTGCTTTGGAGTCTACATTTATCCCATTAACCTTAAAAGAATGAAGGTGGAGTTTGATTTCAGGCTTCTATCTATGTGGTAAAAGTCTGTTATAGAACATTTTCTGAATGTATTAGATATATCAATTTATCAATGTCATGTGTCTTTTGGGGTCAAAGAAGAATTTTATCTAAAATTTGAAGTATTTCAAGTTTGGGAGGATAAAGAGTCTTTAACTGATATGTTTTGTCCTTTGTTTGACTGACTTTTCTTACACTGTGCAGTGTGATGACATTCATTCATTCTTAACTAGGATGTTAAAAGAATGCTTTACTTGCAAGTGTACACTATATTAGGGAAGTAGAAAGCCAGAATAAAAACATCACAAACTCATTCCTTTTACTTTTTCTTTAGGCTCTGAGGCTTTAAGTACTATATACTTAGTGTTAAATTACACATTGTCAGCTTTAAGCTGTTTTTGTCTTAATTATAGTACCTTTGAAGAACATAAGTGTATTATTTGATGGTGACCTTTTCTAAAACTAA